AATATGTTGATTTTCTATACTTTAATATGAAATTTATACTTTTCTTATTAAAATCATGAATAATTATTAAAGAAATATGGTTATGGTACCTAGGGAACTACCCTAGGATCTATGTTTTTAACAAAAAAAATCCGTCACCTAGGTGACAAGGCACCCCCCAGTCGCCTAGCCTTGCCTCGGCGCCTTGAAAATTATGCTTAAGAGGTTTTTCAACGTCAATGGCAAACAAGATTCTCATATAGGTGTTGACGAAGTTCTCTTCCAGGTTTCTCATATCAACATTGATGCGTGGTTTGCTTTGCTCCAAGCAGTCTTCTCACTGACAGTCTCCATTTGAACTTGATGGATTTGGTGCCAAAACTGGCATGAGTTCATCTTTACTTCCCCTATGTTGATACCTGGTTCCCATGGTTTAATTAGCAGGAGATTTTTCATCTCCATCACTTTCCTTTCTCCCTTATTGTTTGGGAATGTCACTAGAAAGTTTTCTCCAATCAAGTCACCTATGTGAGCCTCTTCTTTCCCCTCCAGAGTTGGGCTAGGGCTTGCTTGACACCACTATGGTTTGGTCTCTTGTCTGCATGGACATGGCAGACAATCACCCTCTGAGCCAACTCCAGCCCTTCATTGCTATTTAGAACTTCTATTTCTTCTGCATCATTGTCTTCCATTTCTGCTAGCGAAATAAACTGATACCCGATCAGAGAAGAAGAGACTCCCTACACCGGGGAGACTAAAAGACTTTGACACCTTGCCAGAAAAAAGGGAGGGATAAGAAAGAAAACTTGTATACGGAAGAAAGCATCCGGAGCAAGACAATCCAAGAATCTCTAACTAACATTATTACATGAAGTGCACCTCTATTTCAATGGTTCAAAGCATTGAGTTTAGAATCACTATCTTCATGTCCTTTAGTAACTACAAAACAAGTAAAAACTGTAAACTAGTATAGGTCGCTCAAGCAACTAGCATATGTTAATAATTTGGATACTGAATCTTTATATATAAAGATTAGATATGGGCACATTTACCAGAATAACCCAACTTTCTCTTCCTAGAACTACCAAGTTTCTTTTCCAGAAATTTGATAAGACAACTTAGAAAATCCATTTTAATATTCAATTTTCTATAGTAATAATCCAAGGGAGATGCTAAAAATAGGGGAAAGGTTTTATTTTTCTTGGCTGTGAACTCTGTTGAGTGGCTTAACAAACACCTTTTTGTCTGCCTAATGTTATGCTGATGGAGAAGTCTAATCTTTTGATCCCAACTATTTTTCCTATTCTTCACAGCTTGATCACCGAATTCTTGCAACTGCAACTTTGCTTTCAATCAGCGGCTTGTGGTGGACCACAAGAAAATTGGACATGCATCCTGCAGTACGATCTTTAATTGGGAGTACTATGGGCATGGCAGCTCTTCAGGTACATGTTATTTTTATCCTGCTTAGATGGAATACATATCCTTGATTCAAATTGTTTTGTAACTGAAAAAAAAATGTTGGAAGTCCTCAAATTAATTCTTTAACATATTGAAGTTGTTATCCTTGCTGATAAAAGAAAAAAAAATGTTGGAAGTCCTGAGATTAATTCTTTAGCATATTGGAGTTGTTATCCTTGCTGATAAAAGAAAAAAAATGTTGAAATCAGATTAATTCTTTAACATATTGCAGGTCACCTTGGGGATAACAACACTTCTCTCATATGTTCCAGTTTCGCTTGGCACTGCACATCAAGCTGGAGCATTAACTCTGTTGACGTTTATTATTCTCTTAACCCACACAGTGAGGAGGCCTTCACCAATGCTCCTAAAATCCCTGGGTTCAATCCCAAGGGCACCCTGATACCATCGGCTCTGTTTTAATGGTAGTTGAGCATCTTTATTACTATTGTCGATTAGCTAACCTAATTACTCTCAAGTGGGAATTCCTTATTGCCATTTACAGGAAAGAGGATAGCCTGGGAACTTCAAACTGTATCATGAAAGATCAGAATAAAGTTCTCTTGCTAAGGAGAATAAAGACTACTGCCCATGAGCCCATCCACCGGCACAAAAGAATATTTTTGATTTTGTAATTTTTCAATTGATTAGACTGAATGCAATGGAGCTGATAGGTTTAATTTTACCCAGCTGAATTTCATTTTGCAATAATGCATTGAGTTTAACCATTATTTAGAACTTTCATATAAAGAGATCATTTGTCGAAAGAAGCTTATTCATTTTTCCTTTGCACCAAGTAATTGTATATTAAACTTAAAGTCAGTATTTCTTGTGACCTTATGTTTGAAGTTGAGTGGTATGCTTGGTTGGAATGAAGGATCAAAATTCGGGGCGTGTTGTATCGTATCTTTAGATACACCTGTTTACAGGTGTTTCAGAAGCCTCTTGTTTTAATAAAAAGTATGCATAAAAACCTCTCAAAAACCAATTTTTGAAAACCAATTAATAAAATATATAAAAGTACATGCTTTTTTATACTGATACGCGTCCGCATATACAGGGGCGATACTTTTAATCTGGGTTTGAAGTGTTTATATTGAACTTATCCACAATTTGAGTTTCTCGATGATATTTTAATTGGTTTATTTTTTGCTGTTATACATGGTCCATTTGCATAATTGCATCTATTGTTGCCAACATCTGATCTTGAAGCCGAGCAAAATGTACAATATTTAATTTTATATTTCTACAGGATTCTGATATTGCTGTCATTCTGCAGGCCATTATCCAACTTTTTTTCTTTGATGACTGAGCCCATCATTGGACGTGCATGTTTTCCACCCCATATTGATACATATTGAGGTGTATAAAATGGTATTGCCAAGAACCGAACTAGTCTCGAAATATCGGTTATCATGTTTCATTGGTCAGCTTGAATAACGATGATGTGTCACTTTATCACTTTTTTCATTCACATTTGAATTATGTTCAAGAATTTTTGTAGAATGCAGCTTATATTTTGCCTAAATCTAAATTTGAATCAACTCTGACAAAGTATTAACGCAACAAATGTGCATTTTAATAGTTTTTAGGAAGCGATGTATTATGATAAAAAAATACCAAGAATCTCAAACATGTGGATATCATACAATAATTTTGATAATTATAAATCAAACAATTGAATTTTCTAATCTACTAAAAGTTCACTATGAGACACATTAAAAATTTAAAATGTTGGATGAATAAATTTAATGTCTTATAGTTATTCCATGCCATGAAAATCATTTAAAAACATAAATACATTATTTAAAAAAAATGTATTTTTTAACAATCTTATAGTTATTCCACAGCCAATGCATAGGGGAAATGGACTGGGGCGCATTTCCATGTGTGTCATGTCCCCATCTAGGGGTTGATTTGAGCCGAGCCGAATAGTACAAGGCTCGAGTTAAGAACTTGTAAGTTCGAGCTCTATTTGAGAAAAAAAATATTTTGTAAAAATAAAAATTATATATAAAAAATATTTTTTATTTGATATTTAAAAAAGTAAAAATTATAATAATTTAGAATTATAATATTTTTATTATATATATTATTTTCTATATATATATATTCAAGCTCGGCTCACGAGCTTTATTAGGCTTGAGCTCGACATGTTTATTAATCAAGCCTATAAATCGGGCTTGAGCTCGGCTTGAAGCTCGGTTGAAACCGAGCCAAGCTCGAGTAGCTCGTGAAGAGCTCAGCTCGTGGCCACCCCTATCCCCAACCATTTGGATGCAAATACGATACATTCCATGTATCACTTCAGTAGTTTGAAGCCTTTTCCATGAAAATCTTACAAAGTGGTGAGCAAAGTAAGAATCCGTTTAATTCACTGTAAGAACACTAAGGCTCAGTGGAAGAAGTACAAATGCAAATATGTACTATGCAAATACATACAAAATAATACAAAAGACAAGATTTTGCACTCTACATATTTGTATTTGTACTCCTTCCAAACTGAGCGTAAGGTACAAAGAGATCCTTGCAGTCTTGGGGTCCTCTCTATAAAAAGGGGAACAACTATCCCTCATGTCAGACAACCATATAACCCTAACTCTAGGGTTTCATAGGGGATTTCTCTCTCCCTTCTCTGCTCTTCTCCCACCATCATTCTCTTCCTTCTTCTCTCTTCCCAGTCATCCTTTCCAAACCTTCAGAGACTTGACCAACCACCAAGAATCCATGGTACTTACACCTTCAAAGTATGATTTTGTACTCAATCAGTCATCTTCAGCGGAAATTGGGAGTCTGGAACCAAATAGGTGAATTGTGCAAATACTTTGTTAATACTTAATCTTAATATTGATATATTTTATATTTTATTATATTTATGTCATTACATGTCTAATTGTTTAACCTAAACGGTTGAACCGCTGATGCAGAAATGAAAGGCCAAAGTGGCTTTGTTTCTGAGTTGGTTTTTAAAACCTTGCTTCAAATTGTGTTGGATATAGGAGTATGGACTAATCATAGTTTTCAATGATTACATGGCTAGTCATGTAATGAGTGAGAATGGGTAAATAGTTTAAGAAAGGGTAAAATATAAACCCCTAGGTTTTCTAACAATCCTATAAGCCTCCCCTGTATTTTGACCCTAATAAAAATCTCCCTGATGTTTTGGAAAAGGTGCAAATACCTCCCTTCTACTAGGTTTTCAGTAACAGGTGCATTAGAGTTACCAAAACACCCTTAAACCATTAAGGTATTATGGTACACAATTTGAAATGTTAAAAAGCATCTTCTATACAATGCTCCAAGCATATGATTTATAGGAACAAAACATTCAAAAGAACAACTTTTCGGCAAAACCATAAAGAAGAGGAGTGGGTTTTCCTTTAATGCAAGGGACCATCCACCAACTCTCCTCCATTATTATGGGCAGCATGACTGAAGAAGTGAAGATTGAGCAAGGTGCACCAAGGAGTCTCTGTTACGAATGCCACCAAACTAAGTTCTACTATGGAGTAAGGATATTGGTTGGAGTATCACAACCACTTGACCTCAATCTTTGGTGTTATTCCTCTTTGGACCCATGGTAACAGATTGGAAGAGGACTTATAAGAAGCAACAAGAGCGAAGAATAGGTGAAGGATTGGCTTCCTTTTTTCTCTGTTTCAATGAAAAGTCACTTATTCTCAAAAGAAAAAAAGAAAAAGAGAGATAAAAAGAACAGGTGAAGGATCAACTTCCTTCAAATGGAATGCATTAAGAAATCTACTCAACATAATTACAATCATCATAGGACTCTTTAATTCTTTATAACATTAACGACTACATCATGATAAACAGTGTATGCCATTAGCTCCAATCATATTGATGTACATGAACATTTATTTGTAGATGAATAAATTGTATTGTTGTTTCATGTTAATATTGGTATATTTCTATGTATTATCCATTAAACTGAATACTTAAGAGACTCGTGTTAGCTTAGAATGTTCTCAACCATTTGATAGACTTAAGAAGTTTATCCTGACAAGATTGACATTGGCGTATTGCCAAGGAGTTGGAGCAGCTTGTATGAGATGCTAGGGTTAGATCCCAAGCACAACTAGTGGGTGTTTATTAGAAGCATTGAATTGGAACCAATTTCTAGTTATACCCCAGACTTGGTTATGTTAAACAATGTATATATGCCCTTAGCATCCAATCATATTGATGTAAATAAGCATTTATTTGTAAATGAATAAAGTACATTGTTGTTTTATGTTAATATTGGTATTTTTCTATGTATTACTCTTTAAACTGAATACTTAAGAGACTTGTGTTAGTTTAAAATGTTCTCAGCCATTGGATAGATTTAGGGAGTTTATCTTGATAAGGCTAACACTAGTGTGATGCCAAGGAGTTGGAGTAGTTTGTCTCAATTGCTAGGGTTAGACCCCAAGCATAGCTAGTGGGTGCTTATTAGAAATACTAAACCTGGAGAAATTTTCATTTATTCCCTGGACCTTGGAGATAGATGGGAAAAATTGGAAAGTTACACATAACCCCATACATGATTATGGTACTGCACTACGTGTTGGACTGGGCTGTCTTTGATGCCATCCAATGAGATCCATCAAGGGTCAAATACCTGGATATGTTGGGGTAGTCTAAGAATTCATTTGAGTGGGTGATCATAATGATAGGATTGACTCCTTTGTTGGACAAAGTGAATATCGGGGTTTACACTCTCTTTGATGGAAACCTAAATTGCTGACAGTGGATTTCACATGTGTTTAAAATTTGATTTTGCAAAATATATTTATATGTTATATACTACTATTTATGAAAAAGGTTTTAATCTCGGTATCCATCTAAGCAGAGAGTGTAACATTGCACCTTGCAGGCAGGGGAGAGATCATCCCCTATTGGGCAGTGTTTTGATAATTATGGGTCAAGAGGTTAAGTATAAGAGACCATTACAGGGTTGATTACCTAATGGGATTTGTCTTACATAAATTCATTATCCTTGGGTATTCAAAGGATGGCTGAATCCAATAAACATTTAGGTGTAAATGTTGGTTCCGAATTGAACCAATGCTAATTGGGTTAGGGGTTCACTGCCTTGAGTAGTGAATTCGGCTTAGTTTCTTTCAAGGGTAGGGCCGAACCCATATGGAATTTTGTGAGATCATTATGGGGTCCCATGCTATATAATATCAGGCCTAAATTGGCCATTCAACACTTAGGGTTGTCAGCCTTTCAAGAAAATGGGCCAAAGGCCTATAATTAATAAGATTAATTAAGTAGTCACATGACAATTTAAGGTTGAATACGGGTTTGGAAATGGGTATGCAACACCTATTCTCTTAAGAGGATAAGGGTTATCTATTAATAGAGTCTTAACCCAAATCAAATTTGGATAATCTCCTAATTTGAATAGGAGAGTGCACCATTAAGAGATAAAAGAAGAAGAGGGAGAACAAGACTAGTACACCTCTCACTCTCTCTCTCTCTTGTTCTCTTTTATCTCCCAAGAAACTCTAATTCGACCTAGGCTTTCAAGAATTGATTTTTAATCAGTTTTTCTTCTACTTTTTGCAAGAAAAATGTTGAAGAACATCAGGCTCATACACCCCATTCGATCCAAGCAAGTTGGATAGCAGTTTTGTTGAAAACAGTGTTGCTGAACCGGCTTCACCTAGACATTGCACCATCTTCAGTGGAGGATGGTTTTAGGACTGATTTGGGCATGAACTTCCACATTGTGATATACGCTTGTGATATCCATATCAGGTACAATTTCCCTTTTTGATTTGGTTTTGAATTTGGTCCGGTTCATTGCAAGATCGACCCAGAAATGCAATTTTTCAAAACACTAGGAAATCAGTTCCTAGAAGGGTTAAAAAAATTTGAAAATTTGC